GTGCACGACCTGCATATTGTTGGGAACAGTGTGGTATCTTGAAATAGGGGAGCTGGTGGAGCCGGGTATAGAGCGTGATTTTTATGCTTCGGAAATTTTAAATGTATACACGCCCTGTCTCTTATACACATCTAGATGTCCCCTGCCTTGTAGTGTTATAATAAAACAAATATTTACTGGGCTTTAATCGGTTCATAGTACAAAATATAGCCCTTGGTGAAATGAAAGCTGTACGATGTCCCTCGGCTTTGTCTCGAGACACAGCCCCCAGACGGATCGATCCACGCAATTCGTTGGCGATGTAGTCAGTTCATGTTATGTTTAATGAAACATGTGATACATCAAGGACATGTGTATTACAATATGACAGTACGTATTATCAGCATGTCACCATCGGTGGTGTGTTCATTATGAAATTTACTTGACTAGTACATATGCTGTTCGTAAAGCTATCACTCGGGCTGATGTGAAACCGCAGGAATGCGTACTGCGGCCATTTTGTTCATCCAGATCACCTATAGGCTATATTTTTGAACTTCCGAAAAACCTCAAATAGAAGACCAATGGGCTTAATCTTGAGAAGAAACCCATCTCGAATTAAAGCCCCCCCCCCCCCCCCCCGGTTTTCCCCCCGCCTCTGTTTGTTTAAAGTAGCCTTAAAAAGAAGCCAATCTCGAATTTCAAGATACCATATGCTTCTTTTCGAGATAGCAAGGAGGTATTAAAAATACCTCCTTGGAGATAGTAAAGTACATTTCATTTCATTTATTTCTCTCAAAACAAACAAACGAAAGACAAAAACAAACAGACACAATCAGAAAAAACAAGAGAGAGGAAAACCAAAAAGCGAAGTTAATCAACTATGGAGTGGTTCCCCATTACATAAAAATTAAAAATATCATCAATAAAGATAAAACATAAACCAATTTTCAGAAATTGAATTTACATACACTGTACATGAATTTCAATGAAACAAAATTAAGTTAAAACATGCTTGGTTTACACAGTAGTTTAGGTGATTTAATGCCGGTTGATACATTCCATGATTACGACTGAAGTTACAGCCGCCTATTGTTTTATAGTAGTAATTTCCAAAATTTACAGAAGAGATAGCCCCCCCCCCCCAGCCCCCCCCCCCCCACTTTACTTGCAAAAATAGCCTCGAAAAAAGAAGCCCATCCTAGGTTCACAAAAAAAAGCCCAGGGCTTCCAATCGAGGTTTTACGGTATATGCTGCTCAACCCAGTAAATATTAAATATTTGTATAATTAATTAATTTGTTTGTTCATATCCAGGCCTGTATGAAAGACTGCATGCATATGGAAATATTTAACAACTGTGGCTGCTATGATCCTAGATACGTTTTCCTTCCGGAAACAACACCGATTTGCTCAAGAGAAGAGGCAGGTCAAGGTAATGCACAACGCAGAGATTTGGTGAAATTGATATAGGCCTAATACACGTGGACGATGAGAACGTGAGAACTGAACGTTCTCGCATGCGCAGAAGACTTTTGGTGACGTCCTTACGTTATGTGTCAATTCCGTCGTGCAATCGAATGCTCCCTATTACCTCCGCCAAAGAGGTTTATGTGTTTTGCCTGTCGGGCTGTCGTGCTGTCTGTCGGGCTGTCTGGTAGCAAGGTTGCGTAAAAGGAATCATTATAAAATTTATTGGAATGGTACATAATAATCTAATAAAAAGATGATTATCATTTGGGGAAAAATGTCGAAGGATTTTTCTTAAACATACCTTAGTGCACAAATAAAAATATTGGAATCGCCTGTGCACGACCTGCATATTGTTGGGAACAGTGTGGTATCTTGAAATAGGGGAGCCGGTGGAGCCGGGTATAGAGCGTGATTTTTATGCTTCGGAAATTTTAAATGTATACACGCCAAGTAGGCCTACTGGTTCGGTATCCCTGCAAAAGGCGGACGTATGCACTCTGGTACTGGTTTAAGCCTGTTTTTTTTAGGCCAATTTATTCGCGTGAATCGAAAGCGTCGCTTCTTGCGCATGCGAAAAGATGCACAACTAATCAGAGCTCAGGAAGCGAACCGACGCTTTCGATTCTTGCGACTAAATTTGTCTAGTGGAAAACGGCCTTTAAAGCGGGTTTTGCACTAGGCGAATTTATTCGCGCGAATCGAAAGCGTCCTTCCTGCACATGCGCATTCACATTTCTATAGGAGTTTTCGCTTCAACGAAATCGGTAGCTCGAACTGTTCCTACTTTTTGCGAAGCGAAAAAACTGCACAGCCAACCAGAGTTCAGGAAGCGAACCGACACTTTCGACTCGCGCGAATAAATTCGCCTAGTGGAAAACAGCCTATAGTATTGTGGTTTGGATGTGGAAGCGCTCGGTTGGCGCAACTGTTGTGACTCGGACTCTCAACCTCATGATCGTCGGTTTGATGAGCTTTCTGTTCGTGAGTCGCTTGCAGTCGCTAATTGATTAGCAAAATTTGTAAATCCTGTAATAATTAGATAGGCAACCGATACTGTAAGCTAAAAATAAAGAAAATAATGTCAACGAATAAAATATTCAAATGACGCCACGCTGACTGAAAGATGCCCTGGACATGGTAAAAAAAAATCTATTAAAATGGAAATAAGATATTGAAAAAAATGAAAGGTATGGAAATATATGAAAATAATGAGGTTTTTGTTAATCCATCTACACAAACACACAATCTCAACAGTGTTTATTCGTATTAATAGGAAACAAAAACACAAATCGCATTGTAAGTCTGAAAAAGTGTTATGGAACATTCTTAATATTCATTCTGTTTTTTCAATCAGTGAGGTGTATGGAGAATGTTAAAAATCGGATTACAATAGGAAATATCTCTTGCAGATGTGGACCGGCATGCAAGTAAGTATAATATCATCGTAAATAAGTGTGCACGTGAGTATCGATTTCCAACATCACAGGGATTTCGGCCCCATTCGTGACGTGTACAGAATAATGACGGCGCTCTCCGGAAGAGGGAGAAATCCAGAATTCGGCTTGCGGCCAGAGGCCGAAACCCCTGCCCGGGAGTCCACTTTCCGATAGGCTGAGAAAACGTACCGTAATAGATGAGAATTTGAAAAAGGCCACAAAGGCGTTTGGTGAATCCAAAGGCCAGTGTAAGGTCAGAATCTATTTCATTTTGTGAAGATTCAAGAACACTTTATTGTCCCATTTTAAAATAGGAAATTTGTTTTTCCTTTGCAACAGTTAATTAAAAAGGATAAAATTACATGAAAAATCACAAATACAAAAAAAACTTAGAAATGACGATAAATACGTTAAGATATTAACAAGTTAAAATAGTAATAGTGAAAAAGTCATTAATCGGTGTTTAAAAATTTACTATGTGTACAGTACTATCTCAGAGACAGACCAGCCATTTTAGCAAAGATTAATACAACACAAACCTAGCGTTTTGCTATAAAATTAAAATTGAATATTGCATCTTGAATAAATGAATTCCTGTTTTAAGTATTTGATTTTAACACTTGAAACCTAAAACACTTGTCTAATACATACCTCCTTGGATCTCGTCATCATGATCCAGCTAGCTGAGCATGACTTAAAGTCTAAATTACTCACTAGTTTTCAGATACATGTTGTGGCATAATATCTGATACCATCTGACTCGTTATTTACTGTATGTATATTAACTTACATTGACTCCAAATATACATAATTATACATGTGTTTTATTTCATTGCTGTATGTATACCGTTGTTTTGAGTTTGCATTGATAACATAAATAAAAATATTTTTCTGCCAAAATGGACGCTAGCATGAAATTTGTTGTGATAACGTACGGTAATATTTTCGATCAATTTTTTAACGAGAGTGAAGACTATTAGCAAAGTTCAAACAAGCAAACAAAAAGATAAATTTATTTCTCTTACCACCATCTTAGTCAAAAATAGGGTATTTTAAGCCAAAATTTTAAGGAGCTGTAAAAAAATTACCCAAGCCCTAGGGATGGATATTTTTTTCGGAGACTCTATGCTGATTCAGAAAAACCAAAAATAAATGTTCTTGTTTATTTTTCCCGCTAATATACTATATTATGTAATGTTTAGCAATTTTGTTGTTCTTTGTTGTCAACAGAGAGATTTTATTTGAAACCAGCATATCCTCATCAATGTGGCCAGGAACTGACTATATGGTAAGTGTATGTTGCAATTATATTATAATATAGTAAGAATAATAATAATAATAATAATAATAATAATAATAATAATAATAATAATAATAATAAAATCAAAAATAAAATTTGTTGAAACATAATAAAATTAACTCGACGTCAGAGAAACTCGAACTATAACTGCAAATAATATTTTTCTATTATTATTAAGATTATTTTTATTCATTCTGGCAAAATAGATAACAATATAAAACATTACAAATACAAAAAAAAAAAAAAATCCGAAATACACAAACAAAGAATAATTAGGTGAGCCAGGGAGCAGCAGAAGCGGAACCACTGTCATCTAAGAGATGTGCCGCTCCCAGAAAAAAATGAATAATAATAATAATAATAATAATAATAATAATAATAATAATTATAATAATAATTATAATAATAATAATAATAATAATAATAATAATAATAATAATAATAATAATAATAATAATAATAATAATAATAATAATAATGATACAACAATATCAAACGGTTAAAAATCATTAAAATATTTTCTTTAATTTACATTTAAACAGACCAAAATTAATAGATATAATGAAATAAATTCGAATGTGCATATAAAATTTGACATCATTTTACATATTATGAATAATATTCGAAATTATTTCATTATATCTAAAATGATGTCAAATTTTATAATATGCACATCGTTGATTTGGACTTTGCTGGACAATATTTGAAAAAGATTCTAGCACGGAAATTGACCAAAGTGCCAGTCAGAAAAAACAACTGTAATTCGTAGGAAAAAATTAAGTTAAAATAAACAGGGAAAGTAACTCGACGTTAGTAAGATTTGAACTATAGCGAGAGTGAAATGCGAGACTCATAACCACTGCAAGCATATGAACCGACCTTGCGTAAGTCTGTTTATTTTTAGTAGCGATCAGTGATTGAAGCAAAAATCGTTCATCCATATCTCATTGCTATAATGAGAAGTAAAGTTGAAATTGCAACAAATCAAGTCATTATAAAGTATAACAGTATAAAGTGAAAAACGCAAAAAAAAAACAAAAAAAAAACATTTCTAATAGTACAAAACAAAGTATTGCTGTGCAATGGTAATAGCGAGGTACATTGAGACTCATAACCATTGCGCGCTATATGAGTCAACCAGGTGCAGATGGGTGCATTATTAGTTCATCTTCCTTGAGTAATATCATGGTAATTCAGTGATTGAGAGCGAGAATTGTTCATGCATTTCACAGTAATTTTGCGTTTAACTGGAACGCAATTTGCGTTTATAGGTACATTGATACTTTTATAGAGATATATAGGTCTGGGATTTGCACTTTAAGTGATCCTCGAATTCAATAGTTTTTTTCCTTGTAACATGATAATTTGTTTTTTTCCAGAAAGTTTCATTAATATCAGTTGATCAGTTTTGGGATATCTGGTCTGGGACGTTTACGTTTAAATGACCCTCATTTCCACACCGTACTCCGGATCGTCACCAAAATTTAATCATTTCTTTATTGAACCATGACAAACCATTCGGCAAAGTTTGATTTTGCTCCATTGGTTAAGTTAGCACTTAAAATGACCCCCAACTTCACAGCTGAATTTGGATCGTCACCAACACGTGGTGATTTGTTCCTTGTAACGTGGTTAAACTTTCACAAAAGTTTCATTCAGAGCAGTTCATTAGTTTGTTTTTTTTTGGAATATCTGGTCTAGGACATTTTTCTTGGTCCTCATATCCACAAAAAAAAAAAAAAAATGGCTTTTCCATCTACTGCTTGCAGGAGCCAATCATTAATAATAACTTACAGACTGATTAATAACAATGACAATGACAATGGTATTGATTGTAATGATTATTAATGATAATAAAATAATAATTATGATGATAATAATAATTTATGATGACTTGCTATTCCTTGCATAGAATGGTAAAATGTATAATTATTGCTGTTCTTCCATTCAGGACACTGTTGTGGAAAAATTAAAGGATACCCCATTATTTGCTGTTAACAACACACTGGATACCGAAGATTACATAAAGTAAGTTTGATTTAATTTTAGTACAGTATGTAGAAACTCGGATAATTTCCCACCATTTTACCTAAGCCGTGTGGTGTCCTCGAACCATGATGGCTTTTCAGGGGTTTTGCCCTTTCTTCAATGCTGTTTTGAGATCTTCTAACTCTATTCCGGTGTCTGCTTCAAGGATGTGATTGCGGGTCTTTCTCATTAATGTGGGTAAACTTTGATGCTGGCTCCTCACTCCTGTAATCATTTCCAGTTAATTGGTTCACTATACTTCCCGATCTTAGGGCTTATTCATGGTGAATTTTTAATTTGCCAATCATACTTCCAAACTAATCAACTCATGTTTCTCTACCAATGATGCCCAACATCAAATACTACCAACCATGCACAAAAAAAAACAAAAACAAAAACAAAAAAAAAACACTAACATTCATGTCCTATAACCTAGCTTACACTACCAATCGTGCCCTATACCCCGGCTCACTAACAATGTCCTATACCCGGTTCATACAAACAATCATGGCCTATACCCCGGCTCACACTAACAATCATGTCCTACACCCCGGCTCACACTACCGATCATGTCCTATACCCCGGCTCACACTGATACCCAGTCCTACACCACCAGTCATACTTATGATAATCCTAAGTAGAAATATTTTGTTAACATCATTTACTTATTTTCAGAAAAAACTTTGTCAAATTGAACATTTACTACGAAAACCTACAGTACGATTATATCGAACAGGTACCAACGTACACAGTAAGTAGACCATCAAGTAGCTACATTATACGTACAGTATTATCATAAATTACATTACTATTAGACCCAGGGGTGGCGCCCACTCTCCCCTGTCGGGAGGGCTCCCACTCTCCCCTGTCGGGAGGGCTCCAACCTCTTCCCCACCCCCGTCGGGGAGAAAAACCACAAATCGATTAAATAAGTCTTTGAAACCCTTGACCCTAGGACCACTTTAGAAATATTTTGAGCGGCGCCCGACCACGCCCACTTTGCTCTCGTCGGGGACATCGGCCCACCCTTCGGGAACCTCTGCCCCCGTCACCACCCCTGATTAGACCAGATTACACGACTGCACTTATTATTACACAATATAACATTGTTGTTGATATTCTAATAATAGTCTTCAGTAGCGTTCTCACGAATAAAGCCAGGGAACCCCGGCCCGATGGGTCCCAAATCAAATACAATAAAAAATAACAATGACCAACAATATCATATAAACAAGAAATATTTCATTAACTTCTACAGCTGGTTTGTATTTCCAAACCTAATAAAATAACGTATTCGAGAATGACCTACCATCTACAATGCATTTCTGTTGTGGTACACACATAAACATAAAAATATCTTACAGGAAATAATATAATATAAAAAAGAAGAGATCTTGTATTTGCAGTGGCCTGTTTAGTACAACATACCACGTGTAACATGTTCTGAATGTTTAGCATATTGATTTCCTGAGGAAAAGCTAGCAAAACGCTAAATCGCCTATTACATACACATAAAATTATAGCTCAAGGCAAACACATATCGTAATGTTAATTGCACCCAATAGTTTATATCAATTTATCGAGAAATGCCTAATCTTTTTTCTTTAAAATAGTTTTTATCACTAATAAGTAATGTTGGCGGACACCTTGGCCTGTGGATTGGCATGTCAGCTCTAACACTATTAGAGTTTCTAGAATGCTTCTACGACATTGTGAAGCACATATGCGCAGCACTGATTCGACGGAGAAAGGCAAAGCAAATCAACAAGAAAAATACTGTTAATGTACATCCATCAAGTAATGATTTTCAGAACGATGCTTTTTCTCAAGATAATTAGAAAGACAACAGGACATTAGTTACGTGTCAGAAGTGACTTAAGTTGGAATAGGTACTGTGTATTATGAGGGCGCCCATTGTACAGCAGGGATAAGCAGGGAGTGTCGCTAAACCAAGTTCAAACTGAGTGAGGACCCACGGCCGACGAATACTTCTTCACTCTCTGTGAACGCATAACGACGCGACGCCGCTTGAACGAAAAACGATCCACTGCACACGCCTCATAATATGTAAAATAGAAATGTAAGAATTTTTTTTTACTTCGCTGATATTACCCATTTCATTCCAAGTTAGACAGAAAGTACAGTCATCTTATCAGTTGACAATATATTATAATATTGTTGGGTAAACTAGGCAGATACATTTCGTATGCATTACAGTAGACACAACTGTTGGTAGGAGCATAAGCAAAATTTTGACAATTTCATTCAGTTAGACCTATGCTGCTTCAATGTGTTTATAGTACTGTACTGAATATTGCCCAATGCTTTGATGTTTAACAGTATAAGACAGTGCGTCAGATATATGAGCATAAGACACCTTTTTTAATATTGATATACTGTAAATGAACTTTTCGTTGATGAGCTATACTTGATATATTACTACCAAACTAGCACGGTTATTATTTATCTATTTGTTTATATATATTTTTATATAGTGAAACTCAGTTTTGACATATATAATATATATATATATATATATATACATATATATACATATATATATACATATATATATATATATACATATATATATATATCTGTGTGTATATATGAGATCTTAATATATTATGTTACATTATTATTTGTTATATCTATATATACTATATTTTTATTACACTTATATTTAATTATATTATATCGTATATTATTATGCAATAGTGGCTGCTGGTTCTGAGAGTTTAACGTAATGTTTTAGAGTATTAAAATGGATACAGATGGAATAAGTCATTTCAACATGTCACTATGTTTATTTTGTGTATATAAGCTGTTGCATGGTTATTGGTAAGTGTAGGCAGTTTGGCGCAGTAGAAACGGTTTGATTTCCCCAAACTCGAGGTCGGGGGGTTTCAATCCTTCACTCCTTAGCTTGTGTCCTTAAGCAAGACAATTTATCTACAGGTACATTGCTTCAGTCTACCCAGCTGCAAATGGGTACCAGCAAATTGATGGGAGTAACCTGCGGTGGAATTCTCAGGCCGACTGTCACACTCTTCAAAAGAAGCCCATGGGCTTCTTTTCAAGATAGCATAGGCTTATTTCGAGATAGTACAGTACATACACTGTGCATGAATTAAAAACAAGCTTGGTTTATACAGTAGTTTATGTGACTTAATGATACAGTCTGATGTTAAGATTGAAAAGAAGCCCATCCAAAGTTCGCAAAAAAAAAAAAGCCCATGACTTAAATTCAAGGTTTTACAGTAATGCAGCAACATCTTGGTTAATATAAATTATTTTGTAAAACCAATGACAGTAAAAATAGTAACAGAAATTTAATGTTTTCTTTTCTCTTGTTTTATTTAAAGAAAGATTATGGAAACATTTGAAAGTCACTTCTCACTCTCAAAACAATTTACAGAGTGCAATATAGTTCATAATCTTCCTTTAATGTTTTATTAAAAACAGAGAAGTAAAGGGAAAAATATTAATTCACTTAATAGAGTATCTTTTAGTACAGAAAAAGTCAATACATATATTATGTGATTATACTTCTACATTCAACATGTCTGTTGTGAATTAGTTATGTAATTAATTTTTAGGCACACAGGGCCAAGGATGCATATAGTGAACTAATCACTTTACAAAGTGGGCAATCCTTTTGCAAAACAAACATACAAACAAGATGCTTTAAATACTCATTATCACAGGTTTGCAAAATGGAGTTGTTTTTGTTCTTGATAAAGGGTCTTGTTACCATAACAGGAATTGAACACAGGACCCTAGGATTGGAAAGGAAGAACCAAGTTATCAGCTTAAGACTGGTAAAAACAAATTTATACAATCTCTGTAGATGATTTCAGGCCACCTGACGTTAATCCAGGTGTTCACTGCATCGTACAATGGCAAATACGACGAATCCAACTCCGCTCACAGCGAGCACTAGACAGCACGATGCCATCTGCTCATTTTCTGTTACATTCTGCGCTGATGGTCATTAAAAACGATCCGTTGAGCACCTTTTGTGGCGTTCTCCATAAAATCGCATTGGTTGAGGCCGCAGTATTGTGTCTGGCTTTAAACATCTACAACTATGATGATTTATTTTGATCTTGTGTACTTGTTCCTCTATATGTGAAGCTGAAATATAAGACGATTTACCATAATAGTCGATTTTTTATAATAAAATCAGCTAGGCCTTGCCTACATGGTAATGAGCTTTAAAACTGATGCATTAAGATGCATTTGCTGAATGCTGTTACACAAATACTTGAGTTATGATTTAAACAAGAAAAGAATAAAAAAGAGCAGGATGTGGATAATGATAGCATAGTTCACTAATAAAATAATTGTGATAGTAATAGGAGTCTGTAGAGGCTGTAGTACTCCTGAAAAGACACCAAGAAGAAACAACTGGAAAATGGAAGAGCAGAGTGGACAGCAACCAGTAGTGGATCCAGGAATTCAAAATAGAGAGGGCCCAGGGAGGGAGAGTCACAGATGGTGGGTCTAGACCACTAGTTCCAACAGTTTACAGCACTATATAATTCTGGATTTATATAGCGCCTCACATTGACACGACCTCAAGGCGCTTAAACACTAGACATTTAATTCAAATATTTAAGTTAAATTTATGATCATGGCACTTCTTGATAGCCGGAAATGGCACTCTCATGCCTAAATTTGAATACAATTATTCTTTTTTTCTTTTTCTCCATTTAATAACAATAATTAAAAAAATATAGGGGTGGGGGGGCATTTGAATACGCCAGTGGCAACTGCAGAAGCATGAGTAAGCATGCAGCAGTAAGATGATAAGCAGCTGCAGATTGCAGAGCAGAGTATGCATGACAGGAGTATCATCAAGAAAAAAAGGAGAAGGATGGAGGCTGAGTGAGTGAGAATGAGGAGCAAGTTTATGAAATAAATTATTTAAAATTATATCAAAGCAGTTGAGGACATACCTTCCAAGTAATCCTCCTGACTGGCTATAGAACTTATTGAAGTCCAACCTCAACATGAACTGACTGAGATGCGGACTTGTTTGATGACTACGCACACCGCTTAAAATTTTGAACAGCAGTGACGATTGTCGATTGAAGCCCTTAAACAAATAATTAAGACAGTATTTGAATTAAAAATAGTGTGGATCAGCAGAAAGGCTCTGGGCTTTAATTCTAAATTTGTTTCCGTCTTTGGGCAAAACATCCCTTTCCATCCATTAACATTGTCTCTCTCCACCCAAGAGTAAAAATGGGTACCTGGTAGATTAGAACACAGGACTTTGAGATTAGAAGGCAAGCATCTAAACCACCAAAATACAGCTCCAATCCTAGTTTTATTTCAATTGGTACCAAATCAGCATGCAATGGAATATATCAAATAAAAAAAGAATTGCATATCAAAAAACAGCTTAATAATATTATGCTTAATAATTAAATTAATTTATTTATGCAGATTTTTAAATTTAATTTTAAAAAATAGATCTTAACTAACCTGTGCAATTCTTTCCATGTAAGATATCTCACGTGCTGTCATGGTTACGCTTTGCATCAGGAGCGTGCAGAATGAGTGGCATACATCTAATATCTCGTTCAGACAATGACGAACCTAAAATTGACAAAACAATGGTATGTTTTAGTGTACAATTTTTGGCTTAGTAAAAAAAAGAAACTTCACCAAAATTTTCTATATTCAAAGCAAAGTCAATTTTTTTTTTAGCATCTGAGATTATAATTATTATTATTTTTTTGGTATTATTTATATATCTCTTATGTTATGACGTTCACTAATACAAAACCATAACTTTTTGGCGTCCTAGAAATTTAGGATAACTTAAAGAAAATTAGACAGTTATGCAGTCTGTCGTCTTGTTTTGTTAAATTCCTAATGGCTATTGATGATGCCTAAGATGCTTCATGCATCTTTTTTTAATAAAAATGTATAACTTACTGGCTTCATAAGTAGGAAAGACTGAGCCATGAGTGATGCGAGAAATTGATCATGAGCAAAGCGGACTTCTTCAAAATCACGTGTCGATTGGATCTTTTGAATCAACGCAGTAAACTGACTTTCAAGGACATCGACCTAGAAAGACAGATTTTCAAATTTAATAATAGATTTAGGCAGTCAAAATAGAGGTTTAGGTTAAGGTTATCAAATTGGTTTATGAAAGTCAACTGATTGGCTTAGGTTAAGTTTAAATAGATTAGTTCAGGTAAACAGTTGCAGCAGGATTCCTTGCCTGTAGGTAGTACTGAAGATTGTCTAATAAAAATGCCATGTTGTTGCGAAGACGCCACTTGTTTGCATCCCATCGTTGAGACATGTGATGTTTCTGTTGCATCTGTGTGGCCCAGCATTGCTGAAGCTCTAGTTGCACTCGCTTCACATTCAACAAAAACTTAAACATTGTATTGTACCTTAAGAAAAATTGAAAATTATTCCATTAATTGTTGACGTTATACTTAATAATACATCCTCAACATTGTCATCATCATTAACATCATTATTATCATCACCATCATCCTTGTCATAATAATAATAATAATAATAATACACATTTTTAAAGCGCCTATTAAAGCAAACAAAACTGGCTTGTCACCGGCGCTGGAGGATGTTAGAAAGAAGTTGAACTATTTGAAGAGGAAGTATTTAAGAGTAGATTTGAACAACTGCGGATCAGAAATGATACGTAATTGAGGAGGCAGAGAGTTCCAGAGTTTAGGAGCAGAGAAAGAAAAAGAGCGTCATCATCATCATCACTGTTAATATTATCATTACGATCTTCATCTTTGTTATCACCTTTTTATCATATTCATCACTATCATTATCGTCACTGTCATCATCATCATTGTCGTCATGTTATTATCAGCGTCATCACCATTACTAATAACACAATACTGTAATATCAAAATCATTAGAAAATACATACATAGCTATAAATCACTGTCAAAATATATCACTCACTATAATCCACTTGTAATTTGGTTAAGATTAAACATATAAAGCACACACAGGCCTCTATAGCCTGTACACAAACAAGAATAAGTATAAAATCAGAACAAAACAACATTGATATTGCTAATATAATATTAACAAGCACCAACATCATTAATCATCTTTTTGAAAGTTTATAAATATTTTCATCAGCTATATTCCCCAGATTTTATATGCACTTTGCTTAAGTTACACAACTACCACAAAATAAATGATATTGGCTACTTACTTATCCAATACACTCTGTGTAAAGAGAATGTGTAGTGGCCATTGGACAGAGAAAGCCATACCCAACGACGACCAGCCTGACGTCTGCCCAACATTTTCAGGCTCTGCAAAATAATCAATAATCAATTCATATTTATAATTTATTAAAATCAATAATAAATCATATGCAGCAGACAGAGTGCAGCATCACTACTGGTGAATTAAGCTACAATAATCCAGTGATATCAATAATCAATTGATATCAATAATCAATTGATATTATTAATCAATTGATATCAATAATCAATTGATATAAAAAAATCAATATCAATAATCAAGATACCAATAATCAATATAAATAATTAATAAATATAAATAATCAATATATATCATTAGATATCAATAGTGAATGAATTGTCAAATCAGATGTACAATACATTTGTCAACAATCAATTTAGGTCATTATAATTATAATAATTGACCACAATTATGCCACCCTGACACTTACACGATTTTCATTCCCACCATGGCGCGCACTTCGGAGTGCCAATGTTTAAAGTCTTTGGTATATGTAGCATGCCGCAAAGCGGGACAAAGCGTGACTGAAAATTGCCATGACTAGCTACTTCACACATGCGCAAAGTCGTCGGATCAATGTGGAAAACTTACAGTAGACGTGAAAAATGTGCAAACAATACTTAACCTATGTGTAAACAAGAACAGTAGTGCCATTGCGTGTAAATGCGTGCCAATGCAGCCAATTTTGACCACACATTGTGTAGACTGTGTGTAACTTATGTGTGTACAGTGCGCGAATGTGTCGCAAACAGGGCTTCACACTCCAGTGCGTACCACCAAAATGGCACGCCTTACACAAACCATTGCTCGGCGCTGTGGAGACAGAAATTGTCAGGGTCGCATTATATCTGTATCCAATTAACTTACTCTTGCCAGCTGTTTTGCTTTGGGGCTTGGTTGCTATGGTGAGTTTAAACATTGACAGTGCTTCATCCTCCATCAGAACTTTATGGGCAGCTTGCTGGAATGCTACATTCACATCTGAGTATAAACCAAACACAAATTAAACTTTAAATTCATTTTTTAAAAAATACCCCTATTCAAAAGTGGTTTAACCTTACACAGTCTTCTACGTCTGAAGATATATTTGGCAGCAATATTTTAAGTTATATTTTGGAAAGCTGGTTTCTTAATTTTGAAATATATACCACACTATTTTGAAACTTTATTTGCAATGTACCCATTCAGAATATACATTTAATGTACCATATACAATTACAAAAAAATAAAAAGTATATTTTTTGGGAAACAAATTAATTTTATGATGAAGTGGAAAATGAGTGAAGTGATTTAAGTGATTATTACTATTTAAGGAATTCTTACCATGTTCTGTTGTTGGTGTTGGTGGAACCCTAAGTAAGTGCTGACTATGGTCAATAAAAGCTAAGAACAGTTCACCTCGCCCAAGAAGAAAGAAGTCTTTGAGGGTGTTAAGCTGGCCTAGCAGATCTGAATCTTCTACCACTAGAGTCCATAAATGCTGAAAATTCATTCCAATTTAAAAAACCATGAACAGTTTACACAGTACAATACACCAAATGATAGAAACAAGTTATTTCTAGAATTGGTTTGCAGTTTCAATGGTTTTCATAACAAAGATTATATACATGTACAATACACTAAATGATAAAAACAACTTTTTTTTTTCTAGAATTTGTGATTTCAAAAATAGTTTACCTGGGCCACACATCCTCGGATTTTATCGATACTTTCTTCAAATGCAGGAAGACTAAACATAGATTGTTGTTGAAGTCTGTAAAAATCACTGGAAAACTCTTCTTCTTGGGCTTGTAGAATGGAACCTGAGAACAATTACCAACAAAAATGTTAACAATCATCAAAGTGTTTTAATCTCTGACAATGTGGGACACGTCATCTTGTACATAATGATGTGTTGCATAACATTTCTGTCCATCTGATTGGCTGAACCAATAAATCCAGTCTTTGTATCCCCTGTAATATTTGCTATGCTTGGTGAGTCGAATGGCCGAGAGGTGAGGGCATGGGCGCCACAACGTACAGCCATAATATCAGCATTGGTTCGAACGGCACGCTCGCATATGGTTCTGGGACAAGTCTTCTCAGATAAGGATTATAAACTGTAGGCCCAGTGTACACAATATGGTTCATGTACATCTTTCTGTTGTGGACAGACGAGGGATAGGTGGTACCAGTTTACTGGTAGCTCAGACATGAAGAGACCCTTAGGGGAGATGCACGTTACAGTATGAGCTAGTCCACACCTTGAGTGCTTTGAGACTTCGGTATGCACTACAGTTTATAAATCGAACAACATTTATTTATTTATAATAGCATATACCTGTGCTCCGCACAGTGCTAAATAAGTGGGGAAAGGTGGCGATGAGGTACATTGTTGAATGGGGAAGTTGAGGAGGCAATCGTTGTGGATTTTATGGTTACCATGTCATTATTTTTCTAAAGGACGTCTTTGTAGTTAGTTTTGAGTGTCTTTGGTGAATACCGTAGTCCTTGTGAGGAATTATTGTGCAGTGTGATCAAGGGTGGATCCAGAAAGCTATTTACTATAATAATAATAATAATAATATCTGTCTCTTATACACATCATAATAATAATAATAATAATAATAATAATAATAATAATAATAATATACTTTATTTAAACACGGAGACACTTGAATCACCCATGGGTGTTTTTCATTAAGGCCGTGCAAGGCCATACATTTAACAGAAAATAAAAAATTATTGAAAACAAAATAAGTTAAAGAAAACAACAAAAACATAATATCTTAACTACCAGTGAAACTATCAACCGCCGGACACCAACCTGGTATTTCTAAGTTTCAGGGATGACAATGGATAAAATAAAAATTTTTTTATGAAGACTTTGCTTGAAAATATGGAGATTGGAAGAACATTTAAGTTCATCGGAAAGGTCATTCCAAAGCATAGCACCATGATATGAGAGGCTATTTTTCTTGCACCCGGTGTTCACTTCAGAAATGTTAAAGTTGATGCCATTGGCAAGTCTGGTATTATAACTATTTTCTCTTAAGTGAAAGTGGTTAGAAAGATATGATGGAACATTGTTATTGAAGATTTGATACATAGTTATTGCTTCAGTATTGTGCATTATTTGTTTAAGATTAAGTAGATTAAGGTCTTGCAAGGCTTGAGTACTGGAGTCATTGGCAACGTGAAGATCTTGTAATAATCTTTGCTCCACGGTTTTGCAGGATTTGGAGTTTATCAAAATATTTGGTAATATGTTTATCAAAATATTTGATAATATGCAGATACAAAGCCCTGATAGCTTCCTCATCCCCACCCCCTCCGTTTTTGTTGGCCCTGATAGTTGACAACACACTGCATACGTACCTCTGTATTTAGATGAGCTTTTCTGTTTCTTGTTTTCAAACATTTGTACGGCTTCTCCAACAAAGAGAATCTTGTCAGCCACTCGTGTAGGGATGTAGCTTGGCAGCATGCCAGGGTTAATAGCAAAACTCCATTGACACGATTCACTTGATGAACTTTCTTCTGTTAATTTCTACGGAAGCCAAACAATTTCAAGCCTATTCATATATCTTTCTATTTAGAGGGTTTACTGTATATAGGGCACCTATCACCTTCGGACAGTACTGCTCAATCATACAAGTGAAACCTCTTCTGCTTCCTGGGGAGCACCCTGGGGTGATAAAATGCAAACGTTGATAAAATGATTTGTGCAATGACACAGACATATATTTTATTACGTTTTGATTCAACCTGTTAGTGGTGGTTTTTATCGCTGTTGGTTTCGAACTGAATAAAATAAAAAATAAAACAATGTGAAAGTGTCTAGCCAGTGGTGGGTAAAGGAATGCAAAATAGGGAGGACCAGGGAGGAACTTTTACAGATGGAAGGTGTAGAACACTTCAGCCACCAAATGGTTGAGGCTGAGGTAAAAAACTCAATGACATATGAATGATGGCTGGAAATGGCACTCTCAGATATATACGATTTTCTTTTTTTCTCCAATTTTTAAATAAATTTTCAAGAAATTAGAGCCAAATGTCCTCCTCCCTTGAATTAGAATGCTTTCCAACTTCTCAATTGAAAAATAAAAGCATTACGACTGTACCATCTCCCTACACAAGCAGTAAATACTGTAACAGTGTAATTATGTTTGCATAATAATGGCATTAAACATGATCATTAACATTATCTTTTTTTTTAAGACAGTCATGATTATGATGTGAATGCAAATACATAGAGCCTTCATACCAATGCTTCTTGGAGTTGTTTATCTGGGATGTCAGGGGTGTTCAATGATGCTACATCTTGTGCTTTAACCTCTTCTTCCACTTGCCTAGGGACCTGGTGAATGTAGAACTCTTTGTACTTGTCTAACAACATGCCATGCAGGAGCCAGGCAGTCAGCTGCTTGTACATTACACAATGACAAATCTGGGTTATTCTGTAACAAATAGTAAGATCTTGCTTAACACCTCATCATCATCATCATCATCATTTATTTACGTCAGCATTTTCCCTCTTACGAAAGGTTACTGAATTTCACGCCATGATGACATTCCCATCTTCCACCTTTTCCTATCTTGAGCATCCTCCTCATTTAGACCAACTTTACAACTTTCTTTCTTCACCATATCTTTCCATATAAGTTTTGGTCTTCCTCTTCCTCTTATACCATCCACTTCCAGATCCCATGCTCTTTTCACTAGTTCATCATCTTCCCTTCTCAGCACATGACCCATTCATCTCAATCCATCTCTTTACCACTCACACTCACTCACTCTCATTCATGTGTTAATATATTTTACAGTTTATAGAGGATAATAATCAAAATTTCTATTGGGTACAGGTGGATCATTCGGGCCAAATTCAGCCTGGCAAAAATTTAGATAAAAATTATGTGTGTGGCCTGTCTAAAGTCACTGGCTGGAAACCCCCTTAAACAGGCAAATGCCTAAAAAGCAGCATCAAAATTGAGCATTAAGTAGAGTCAAGCAGTGTATGAAGACTTTTTCAAAAGAAATGTCGAAGTTTTGCCCTAAGTGTGCTTGCAGCCCTCATGAAAAAAAAATTCAGATTGGCCTACCTCCACTACTAATTAAAACATTTTGTTAGAGTAGTTAAAGATCTCAATCAAATTACCAGGTATGCTTGTCAGACCAAACTCATGTGGTAACAGAAAAAAAAAATCCTCATTCAATATCTTACTGGAGGATGGTGTCTCTAACATGAGGAATGCCGCAGACACTACGGTGATGAAGAACTTCAAGCAAATGGCAGCCATGTACACGGCGAGCTATCAGTTGATCAAGTAACACAGAGAGCTCAGTGAATACTGGGTGGAATTCTTCCAAAGCTTGCTGGATGTGCGATAGAGGTAAATGAACATCTCGAAGGACCTGCCAAAGAAAGAAGTTCAATTGGTGCCTACTCTCAAAATAGCAAGCACCCAGCCAAGAAGATTAAGTTTTATAATTAGAAGTTTCCTAGACTTTCAATAAATTTAACGATTATAGTGATAATTGCATTTATACAACCATTGACCCGAATGCAAAAGAAGAATGGGAAAACTCAAATGCCCGCAGAGAAAAATAGATTCATCAATCCCCTCATAACCACATTTTGGGAAGTTTTTTTGGTGAAAATACAGATGCCACTAAACAATTCTTGGCTAGTACAGCTGATGAGTCTAAGACTGTAATTTTGGGGAAGGGCAGATATTCAGAAAATAGTGGACAATTTAGCCAAACAATAAAAGGAAATATACTGTGAGTTTTAAATTTAAATTATACATCCCTGTGTCTTTTTGTGTTTTTGAATTTCAATTATATTATCTATTACTATGTTTGCAGTGCCAGAATGGTTAACAAATTAAGAATAATGTTTTCTTTTTTTCAAGCAATGAAATACAGGTATTGGGGGACAGCTTGTACTTGCTCATCCTTGACACTTTCCCCCCTCCCCTCACTCTAATGATTCCTCCTGTTGCCCTGTACCTTGTGTATTCTATTAATTACCATGGATAGTGATAATATTTATCGTGAGTAAAAAGCAAAGAAATTTATTACTTCTTGTTCTAATCTTAGTAGAACTTTTCTGTATGAATCCAGCACACTGTCCAGGCCTACACACAAAGCCCTTATGTACAAACCATCTTTCAGCTCATTTTCAGGGGCTAAAAAATAATATGCATGAAAATAAATATTGAAATATTTCAGAAACATCTGTATAGATGTTAAAATAATAAAAAATTAAATATTACTAATATTAATGTTTTAACTGTTATTTTTAAAAATATTTAATAAATGCCTAAATTCAACGATGTTTGGTTTTTGATTGATCAATCATTCTTTACAGTAGGTGTATACAAATGTCCCTATATTAGTACACAGCCACTAAACAAAATCAAAGGTCAAATTTAGGCAATGGGGGAGCTATTGCAGGCCTGCCATGTCTCTCATTCGGCGTGATAGTCACGATAAAATATGTTCAACCTGTGGTCCCACACACATTTGTAAAATGTAGTTATTAAAGGTCACCTCCCCTCCTCCTTTCCCTATTATTTTACCTTTTTTATTCTGTCTGCTATGTTAACAGAGTATAGCTACGTTCTCATCAAGCCCGGATCCGGTCTGGCGCCCGGACAAAAAATCGTGAGTTGCTATGTTTTTTTAATTCTACGTTCACAATGTGCACGGAACACGGTTGTTTGGGTTAAGTATGTATGCGTTCGATTGGTTAGAACCAACCAAGCTTGTTCCTGATTGGTCCAAGAAAAAAAAAAAAAGTATGATTTTAGGATACACTGCTCTCAGATCCATCGGTCCAAATTCGGAGTCCGGATTGAAAATCGTATGAATTTGATGTGAACAGTCCTATTCTTTACCACTGAACCCATTTTTCACGATTTTTTCTCCGGACTCCGGACCGGAATCCGAGCTTGATGTGAACGTAGCTTTAATCACCATCTACAGCTTCAACATTGGTTTAATTGAGGCTTCTGTATTTTGTCTTTACATTACAAATTTATGGAGAATTTAATACTTCATAAAATAAGTTTGAGTCATTTTTATCAACTCACTGGTTTTAGGAACCTCAGTGGAAGGTAATGATGGCTTTCCAGAATACTTTGCAATAAAATCTTGAAATTGTTTGTAATGTGTTCCAAGTTTACACATGCGATTCAAAAGTGCAATCTCATTGCAATGAAGGAACGGTAGATCAGGAGCAACCTACAAACAAAACAAAAAAATAAAAATAAAACACAGTGCTTGTTGTGCAGGTTTTGTACTGTGGGTGTCTATGGCCGTCCTCCCTATCTGAATAATAACGTCCCACCCCCCTCCCAATATGACAAACAAAAAAACAAGAACTTTGAAGCAGAAAACAGTGACCTTTCAAAACCTGACTCCCTTGCTTGTGCTGCCATCCATACACCTTATCCACAAATCGGTAGACATCTTGAAGTGATGACAAGCAACCCAAGTCAGTGGTGCGTAACCAGCAGAAATAAGATAAGCTTTGAGGCTAAATTCTTATCCTCATTCTCATGTTATCTAAAAATTCATAACTCCATAACGGAGGGTCATATCACATTTAATTTTTTCTGGAAAATGTTCTCAAAAGACTATTCTTTACCATTATATGATTGAAAAAAATTGAAACATTTTTTTTTTACCTCTGAAATCAAGATGGAAAATGAAATAATATAAGCTACGTAGACCTAGAGTAGAAAGCACAACCCTGTAGGTGTCTAGGCCCAGCAGTCGAATACGCCTGACCTAACCGCTGCATGCCTAGGCCTAGAGCCCTACTAGCTAGCCTGCTGTACTGTGGTATAACGAACCTCAATACTATTATTACGTAGAACGAATATACTGCCCGTATATCCACTCAATGCTAGAAGAAGTTCATGATGCATTTTTCGTTACAACCAGGAAGGAGGGTGCTGGAATAACAATATTTGCGGCCTTTTTACAGAATTTAGCTCTCCCTCTGTTTTTCGAAAAATCTGAACAGAATAACAAATGCTGCCCTCTTTTTGAATATAGAGATAGTTCTGTTATTAATATTTGATTATTGTATTTATAGTTATACTGTACTTATATGTATATTTATATTCCTTATAACCTTAACCTGTTCATTTTCATACATTTCGTTTTCTACACTGCCTCGCCTGTATGTTCTTTGTTTTGTGACGTCTGTGCTTCTTTTCTGTTTGCCCTGCACAATTTTATTTTATTTTTTCCCTTTTTTTCATTTGACCAGGTGGCCAATTTCCTGTACAAGCCTAGCTCATTTAGGCTACTGGACTCCCCACCATTCTTCAAGTTCTTTTTCTTTATAATTTGGTAAAAAAATACTGAATACTAAAATTACAGGAAAATGAAAACAAACAAACATGTACGAGGTATCCACAATATATTTTATTGGATAAGTTGTTGTTGTTGTTGTTGTTCCCCAAACTATATTATTACAGTACAATTAATATGTAAAGCATGAAATTATTATACAGTGTCGTATCTACACTCTGTGCAGCCAGTGCAAAGCACTAGGGCCCAGGGCTATTACGGGGCCCAGGGCTTTACGGTCAGTCACTATCATCAGACAAGGTAGGACGATCTCTTATGAAAGTATGTAATTATCATCATGACCAGTTAGAGAGCTGGACTCTTTGTAGACAATCTGATTTATCTGTTGACGCTAAATTATACTCAATAGTCCTTACACATTACTGTTTTAAATGTTGCCAACAAAATAAAGGAACAACAGATAGGATGTACTGTAAAACAATACAAAAAAAAACACTAACAACTTTAATTGCAACATTTTAAACAATACTTCGTCTCTAATTAACATTCAGCCCACTTGATGGCGCCCCAGAGTTGCTCGATGTCCCGATGATGTAACTGTTAAAAGACCAAGAGTTTAGGGGTTTGATTCTAGGTAATAAAGCGAAGAGCACAGGGCCAGCCTTCTTGGCATGATGAGCTCTAAAATATTAGCTATTATTACAACCCGCTGGCTAGGACACCAAATAATTGTTAAAACTGCTATTGTCACTAAAACCCACCAATAATTTTAAAAAGCCACTGAAATTATACTTAATACAAATTCAAGTATTATGTTCTTTCTTTAGGGTAAATGATCCAATAAGCGCCTCTTTCACAAAAAAGCAAAACACTACACCAAATGTGCTCTGGCACTTAAAGCACAAACAGATTTCTCATTCACTAAATATTATACATTTTAAGAAGAGATATTAGTACAATACACAGCACCAACTGAATTTAAATATGGTACATGGGAACACCACTCAAACACTATTTGAAATAAGCGCCACTCATAAATAAAGCTTTCAGAAATTCAATTAAAGTTGCAGCACACATTTGATAATGTATATTACAGTATTTAAGATAAATTTCAATTAAAATGCAGATTTAAAATCTAACACGAACCTGAGATTCTAACATAACAGCTACAGTTCGTTTTGCATTAACCTTTGTTCACACTACAAAATTTTCTGAGACAAATTTTTTTTTTTTATTCAATAAAATTTGATAATCTGGAAAAGGCTTAAGTTGTGATGTAAGTATCACAGTTTTCAGCTCTACTACAAGCTCGGTACTTTTACCAGGGTGATATCGTTCCGAGAATTTTACACAATTCTGAGGCGTTGATTGGTGAAGCTGGTTTGACCCTAACCATAAACTTCAGTCTTAATATCTTAATGCACTACACCACATGTTGGAACAATATCCATGGTATTTTTTTAGATGCGATAAAAAAGTATATTGCTTTCTTTTGGAATACCACATATATTTATACTATAACTTTACGGAGAATAGCAGAAAACTCTTTGGAAAAAAATCAATGCCAAAAAGAGGCTAAGCACCATAACTAATGTGACACCTTTGTGTCTGCATAACAGGTAACACTAAAACACCTTAATGTAATCCTCATTTTGAGGAGATCCTACCCTACTTGTATAAGTTTCCACCTACATTCTACTCTCATTAAAGGGATCAAATATACCACACTTGTCTGCATGACATAAGCAATTATTTCCTGCCAAAAAGCATTCTGTCTAGCATAACAAGTTCAAACAAAGTTCACTAAAAAAAAAAACATTAACCCCAAAACCACCAACAGTAATAGGCCAACCAGTACCATGCACTGAAATTCCAAATATGGTAAAGATCTGGCACAATGAGAAGTGGGGAGGGAGGGGGTAAGGGATTGTTACTTACTTATGATTACCAAATCATCATAGGGGTAAAGTAGCTGATCCAGGTGGCGGTGAAAGGGGCCCTTGCCTTCTGGCATCAGCAGAAAAAAAAATCCCTGACCAAATTTTAGATAATTTGACAGCAAAAACCTGAAGTTTCCATGGGGAACAGGACCCCTGGACCCCTAAATAAGTAAAGAAACAACCTCAACCTGTCACTTGGACTCACCCCTTCAGACCATTTGGTTGACTCCTATTGTCACTTACACTCCCCCCACCACCCTCCATGCAAAAAAAAAATCATTGATCCCCCTTTGACCCAATGTGGCACGTGGGCTCATCATCATTAAATGTAGCTTTTTTCTATAACTGACACTTTTCGAGCACACTTTTAAATTTGACTCCATATTCATTCCAAGCTAAAAGATGTGTCCACCATAGAGAAAGACTATTGATATTTGGTCAAATCCAATCTAACATTCAGTATTCAATTTTGTAACATTAGAATAACGTTGGGTAAAATTTAGTCCACAATTTGGTTAATTTTTTCTATTTACAATTCTAATTTGCAGAGGTAAAACAACTTTCAACAATGAACTTTGGTTGGGCAATACACTAATGAAAAGGTAAAACATACTATATAACACATGTATAGTACATGTAGTAGAATTAGTAAATTGTACTATAAAGGTGAACCATGTATAAACATGTGTTACACAACAACTTTGTTATATCTTAATATTTCCTATTACATTACAACATCATGCAAACTTCTTCCCTGTACTTTGAATGAAAGGCCAAGAGGGTATTATTTATATTGCACAACTGTAACCTTAATGTGTTAAATAATACCCTCTTGTCATTCCATCCTTTTCTATCCCTATACTGAATCACTAGTAATTGCATCGCTTTCATCATTAATTTGTTTCAAACTCACTTATAATAGACTAATATTCTATACAACCTTTACATTTTAAAATCTGCATACAATTATGTACAAGTAGGTTTATATTCATCTAAAATACAAATACAAACATTTTGAGCCCAAAGTGAGTTAACAAATCAAACAATTTCTGTTAAGAACAAGGAAGTCCTGTACAGATTATCAAATTCTATTTGACAAGAAACTGTTGTATGCCCAAATATAGTCATGATGTGCCTATATATGGTCATGATGTGATGTCATCATGACCATATTTAGGCATGTTGCACGTTGTCAAATAAAATTTGATAGTCTGGACAGAGCTTAAGACCTCTGGTAGTTTCAACACCGCATGACAATGTCAAAGTCCAAGTGACGTTAATATAATGTTCATACTATCTAACGCTTTATCAATCATCATTATTACCAGTTGTTGATTTTCTGTTATGTATATTAGAACACTTAATAACACATCTTCAATAACTGTTGAATAATAAAAGCATACAAATATTAAATCAGTTTACACTCACCATACCCGTATTACACGCATGATAGTTATTACAATTACAGAGACTTGCCATTCCAAAACTAGTTTATTGCCGCTATTTGTTAACTGAGTAATTAGCATAAAAATGTGGCAGTGTTGTATACTTTAAGCCGCAATATTTTTACTCATAACTCTGGCAATAGTAAAGTCGATTCCAGCAAATGACCCATCAATTTTTATTTTTTTGGTCACTCATGCTTATTTTGGGATGGCAAACCTCTTACAAATTGTTTGTCTAATAGTACTGACTTTCGACATACAGTAGACATGCACAGTTGAAGCTAAGAAAGGCATTATTATCTAGCAGTAGTAAAAATAATAATAAACATTGACGACACTTCTTATGCTGTTTATTCATCAGGCGTTATGGCAGTAGTAATACGACTGTGTGTTGTTATTAAAATAATTAAATAATATTAATAAATCAATCAATCATTGTCATACAATATATTATTTTATTAACACTAGATATTTTGAATATATAGTGACATAAATACATATTTAATACTAATTACTAAAAATATTAGGAACAATTTAGGACATTGCATTAGATTACAAATGAAACCAAGAAACTAATTAACAAATTAGTTACCCAGGAATAAACACAACCAGTGTGTAATTTAGCTCTAAAATTATCTTAATAATTTAAATAATCTAAAGTATTTGAATAAGAGTTGCATAAATGAGTTTAATGTCATGTTTTTATTTATCTTTTTAACATAAATAGGATTGCACAGACATCTTAGCACTAAAAAAAAGCACACACTCTCCCTGAGTTTCTAATCTTTTGGTTTCAAACCAGCACACCTAAGCGTAACATATGGGATACCAACATATTCCCATGAGTCTTTAGGCCAATACTTAAGTACGGGTCCCATCTCTGGACACTCGTTCATTGCATCGAAATACGAGAAGAGAACAACAGATGTGTATGCCGATATAAAAACTAGCAGATGCCAGAAACAGTGTAGGTATGGAAACGACAGTGACTGCCACATCTCACAGAATACTTTATCATTTACCCAGCATGCAATAGCAATGATCCAAAGACTTGCACAGCTGACCCCTAGACGCTTGATCCTCAAACAATTAATTCTGCGAAGACAATTCAGATTACTTGATTTTAATTAAACAATGTATTTCCATGAAATTCTTTTTATTGTTGCAAAAGTAAGTAAAAAACAAACACTGAAAGACAAATATAAATAGATAACACACTTTAATTCTGATATAGGTAATAATAATATAGACATAAATATTTATTTATTATCAGATAATGTAGAGTTCTATTAGATATGTAATTAACCTTGGTTTTACCTTTTAAATAAACTGTCGAGTGAGGAATGAACATGGGCAGGACACAGGGGTGGAGATGTCCGAGAGTGGGGGCCGAAAGTGGGACCGATTGAGATAACTCTACCTACCGCGAAATTGTTGTGTTCTAGATGACCGAAAATAACCTCTGAGGCATTTTGGGCGATCAATTTTTTCTTTTTCTTTCTTTCTTCTTTTTTTTTTTTAACTTTCCAAAAGGGAGGGAGGACCCCCGCTATCCTTATTCTGCCACTGGGACTGAATTTCTAATATATTTCTTTATAAATTTATTGAATAAATACTGAATACTGAAATAATTTATTGTCCAACAAAAAGAAGAAAATGCATTTGAAAACTGGCAAAAATTTAAAATCACAGCACAGAATATTAAAATATGAAATTATTATAACCAATTAAAGGTTTAAAAATATTAATGTGTAAAAGAAAAATCAAGTTTAGATACAAAATACATATAAGAAGAGCAATACATTAAGGAAACCATATCATTTATTACTGAACAAACATTTAAAGTCGCAACAGCATATTAAAAAAAAAATTATTTACTAAACGGTGATTAATTCTTCCTGAACGATATATTATTAAAGTAAAAAATTATAATGCAAATGCTTAAACCAAAATATTAGTCGTAGTATAGTTTATAAATTGTAATTTATTTCACTTGTAATCTATAACTGATAAAATGCAAATTATAAACAGTCTCTAGATGGACAGAATATATTTGCCAAGTTGCTGAAAACAGATACATTTTGAAATATGTACTTCTTTGGCATCATATGTGCTAATTTTCAAAACTAACAATGATATTATTATTAATACAATCATACAGTAATTATTATTATAATTACTATAATTATTATTATTATTATTATTATTTATTTATATTATTATTATTATTATCATGTTACTAAAGCCTACCTTAAGAGGAACTTACAATGGAGAAAAAAACGATGTTAAGTGGAAAATAAAACAAAAGATATTCCCCTTAAGTCCGACTTGGCACATATTATTATTATCATAAAATAATCATCAACTTGGAATATGAATAAATTAATACATTGACCAACCTTTTCATCTCAAGATAGAGTACTACAATGCACGGAAAAACAAAAGGCATCATGAAGAATGAGTTCAACGCTGGCTTAATACAAGCCATTACGTTGCTTGTCATTGTGAAAATAAAGACCATTAACTTGAACTTCCTCCTAAAAATTTAAAGACAAAATACATATTTTGAATTTTTTAAAAATAATAACAATTTAAAGCAGGTTTATTCAAATGTATTTGATTATTACAGAGCTAACTCAATTGTGTAAAAAATAATCATTAAACAAAAGTCAAAACAGTATTTTTTTTAAATTCATGAAAAAAAAACCTTAAAAATTACTATCAAGCTTTGAATTGTATTAATTACAAAGAGCCAAATATTGTTAGCTATCTTTAATATGTCACAGATTAAAAAAAAAAATGTTTTCAATGATTTAATTTAAAGACATCTAAAAAAAATCTTAGGATAATTTAAACATTTGCAGGCAGAAATTTAATGAATGGTACAGTATTATTTAAACATCTGTTTTCCCATTTTTAGTCTAATTTCTGGTTTAAAATAATAAAATCTTATTCAAAAAGTATAATATTCTCCTTCCAACTGAAGATCACTTTTAGGAGCAGAGTTTCCAATTCTTTTTTTTATTAAAAAGATATACAGATAGGCATCCATTTGGTGCTGCTGAAAGGTGGTCTTTAACAGGAGGTGGTCTTTCATTGGAGGGGTCTTTAATTAGAGGGAGATGTGTACAGTATCTTTAAGAAGCTGAAGATCTGTCTTTGAAAGATGAAAAATAAAATACACAGTGCTATAAAATTTGCTTATTTGAAGAGTGACATCAGTATTTTGATTCTTAAAATTCTAAAATTGCATTACAATTATATTAGATCGTAACATTTTTAACAATCAAATATCTTTTTGTGTAGCTGTACAGGTATGACTCACCTATTCCCTTTTAGAAGTTTCGGATAAAATCTCCTTGGATACCACATAGCAACACCACACATTACAACCCATATTATGCTAAGTTCGTCAAGTAGCTGGCCTACTAAACTCAGTGTTGCATGAAAATAAACGGACGACACCCCAACTGCCACAAATAGCAGCCACATGATGTTGATGCTGTTGTTCACTTGGCGAGAATACTGACGATACAAGTACCATAGTAACGGTGGAAACAGAAAAAAGAAGACATTGCTAACCTGCAAAAAATAAAAATACAAACAAAGTTAACTAATTGGCTTGGCTTTTTATGTAGAGAGTGGAGTAGTAGTTGCTGGGTGTTTTTCTCCACCCCCGCCCCCCCCCCCAACCCTAACAGAAATAACGACAGAAAATAAATATTACATTACGTTAATCATTCATAATAAGGTTAGAGCCTTCAGCTTGAAATCTTTTGAGAAATGTCTACAACATATTCTTTTCTAATGCTAGAGGAAACAAAATATTGAGTGGTAGATAAACAAACAAATATTTGACACAAAATTTAGAAGGCTACAAACCAATTAGTTGATATGGAAGGAATATAGCATTGAACTGAAAAGGCCAAGATTGCTGTATTTGTACTGAAAGATGTTTTCTTTGAATGGATTTGTACTGAAAGATGTTTTCTTTGATAACATTAAAACCATCTGGCAGTCATGGACTAAATAATGCATGACAGTTCGAGACTTGTGGCTCAAATTAAGCATAGATTTGTTTCCTACATAATCTAACAATTGCAATAAGCGTAACGTCAGTTACCAACTGGCCATTATAAAAATGTTAATATCTTCCAAAAATTTAATATATTGTAATCATACTTCTAGTATACTAATGCAGTAATTCCATGGCATACAACTCAAGTTTGTCTGTCTCTCAGACATGAGATACCAGAATTTGTTTTTGTGCGTCTATGTAACGTCAGTTACTGCACTCATTTCCTCCACTCAATCTGTACCACATACAGTATGGTAAAAACTCTAAAATGGTATTCCCGTATTTCACTGCCTTAGTACTACCATGTAGCAATAAGAAATAATTAGGTTTTTCCTATTTGTAATATAAAGTGAGTAACAATGTGAATATAAAGGATGAAATTAACATCAGATACTGGAACTGCAAATATGACAGAAATGTTTATAGAAATCTATATTGAAATTTTTACCCCTTTTAATGACACATGCAGTGAAAATGCCACATACAGTTTATCTTTGACACATTCAAATTAGCAATGCTACAAAATACAGATATTGTTGATGTGGAAAGAATAAAACTACTGTAGAGGCCAAAAAAATACGACTACTAGATTGTATTGAAAGTTGTTCTGTTTGCAGCCAAGGAATATATAATGCAGGATATAAGTTGACATTAATTTTTTATAAACCATTGTTCAGTCAAAATCTTTTTTTTTTCTTAAGACGACATTAATTTTTCCATGAATATTTGCTACAGTGGTTAAAATATAAATTATAATTCAAAAATACAAACATTTCTACACAGCACACTGCATACATTATAGGTTTACCGGTATGTAAGCTTTAATTCATTATGACCATGGATGGGAAACGGGGATGATTGACCTCTCAGAGGCATCATGCATTTTCATGAAAGGGAAACCGAGGCTGACTGCACCTCTTCCACCTAGAATCCGCCTCTGCAATCTTGTGTTAATAATTGTAACATAAATAAAACAAAATATTGATTGCAAGAAGTTTTCTCTTTCCTTTAATTCAATAATCTTGTCGGATGCGATGCATCAATGATCATAGAGGTGCCCAGCTGGGAGAAATGAGACAAAATGTGAGCTCTCATGCCAAAATAAGTCACTGAAAAATTTAGATAGATGGCTATATTTATATTAAGCTTTTGGTCTTTGAATCAGGTTGCCAGATAAAGTTACAAACCATGGATGATTTTAAAATTCAGATGTCTGAAAACATACTGTACTTAAAAAAAATAACCTCTAAAGATAAATGTTACACTACTGTACATAGTAATCAATAAATACAGGTAATAAAAAATAAAATGAAATAGACAGTAGTCAATAACTACAAATTTATATTAAAAAATGCTGTCGGATCTGATGTGACGTGATGTTTATAGACTACATAATACCTTGAAACATTCGCTATTTTTGAAATCATATATCTTCTGTTTTATATTATATATTTTGTGGATGCGTGCAAATGTAATAGATTAACATTTTACATATAATTTTTAATTATTACCATTTATTAATTATATTTGCCAGTCTTGCCAGAAGAATTTCTGTTATTTTATGATGGACAAATAAAGCAATTTAGTTTCAGTATTCAGAAGTACAATAGTTATTGAGATACTAATATTAATGTACAAAATATTACGGAAACAATTATGTTTTTTTAATATACAAAAAAAAATGTTTGTTTTGCTTATTATTTAAATTAAAGAGTCAAATATACAGTGATTTATGTTGTTTTACAATTTATGTGCTGGAAATAAAAACAAATAACAGTATTAGTAGTACTGGTGCAAATGGAAATCTTGAAACACTGACATACAATAAGTATATTGATCGTGAGGGTCACACTTTTATAAGGATATTAGCATAACATGTACATTTCATAATATTGTCAATTTAACATTGTACTATTAAGAAAACAAGTCAAAATATCGAAGTTATTTTGCAATACTGTACGAGGCATTAAACATGTATAATATCAGATGAGGAAACATGACATAGGTATTAACATATTATAATTATGATCGAAACTTACTGTATTATAGAATTCTGCAATTCCAGGTAAAATGCTATAATTGCTTTCGCACCAGTCAATTGTTGAGCTTCCACGCTTCACCGACTCCATTATACGTTGTTCAATTGAGAATCTGTACAAAAAAAAAATTTTGAACAAAACATATTAAATAACACATAAAAATTTTTTTAAATAATAAACAATTGTGAGAGTTGGAAATATAACGGTTGCATAGATCAAGAAAAATTCCCGAAATTGTGCAAAGAAAATTATTTATTACAGTATTATTATTGTGTGTACCATTGGGTGAATCTTTTAAAGTTCCTACCTTCTCAACACTATATTCCATACATATTTTCCCCTGTATTTTGTTTACTACTTAATTCTCCACATAATACAGTTACAAATACACACACACGTTTACATATATCTTTGACCCATTCACACAAGTACCGTACGTACGCACTGATCCAAAAGCCAGAAATAAAACTCTAATCTACACTATTTTAAACCCAGTACTTACACTTTTATGAGATGATAAATAAACATTATATTTTCCAATTAAGTGGATTTGAAAATGATTTTCAAAGTACTATCTTGATCACCAAATGAAAACAAGTGCACAGATGAAGGGTGCATGAATCGTAAGCTGCAGTGGTGTGAATACCCTTGAGTTTCATATGGACCATAACAATACAACTCAATTTCAATAATGATTATTTGAGGAGCAGCTAATTGTTCTTGCACAGTTATCAATATGTGACGTTTGATGGTTAAATTTGACACAGCTAGAACAAAGCTATGACCTTCAATCACCACACTGTCACTGTCAAATGATGACACGGTTCACTCGGCAATATTCCATACTGGCTTCAAATCTTGTTATAAAAACATGTCAGGCTGACAGTACAGTATTAATGATTTATAGTTGTTATTTAGTACAATTAGCAAAATGAAAATACAGAAAATACTAACAAAAATATCAATGAACAATGCTTAGAATTGATTTTTTTTAAAAATACAAATTAAACAATAACAATAACATGACAAATGTTATTTTGGTTCTCTGTTGCGTTTTCAAGTCTAAGTTTGTATACGCATAGACTTCATCAGAGTTTGTAAACTCAAAAATGATTAAAATTCTACGAATTTTGGAATAAACTAAAAACATAAAAATCAATAATTGTGCTTGTTGTAATTCCATTTTTAATTTTTATCATAAAGTTAAAATAGTATCTGTTGATTTTACAGTATATCTACTTTTATTTGTAACTGAACCACTAATTTAGAAATCAGTAGGGCCTACATTTGTATTGGAAGTGCAGGGGTTTCCCTTAAGGTTTTTTTTAACTAGCCAATTGGATCAGTAAATTAATATTTTTACTGGTCCTCAATCCCTTTCACTAGCCACTATCTTGCCAACTTCGAAAGGCCCAAATACCATATTTGTGACATGCCAATCATGCTGGCCATTTCCGGAAAGATCGGTTTGTGGAACATTTCTATTTCTATTGGTGTGGATACTAGTACTAGTACTTCGCCATTGCTGCGAGAACTGCATTGGTTACCGGTCCAACAGAGAATACATTTCAAAATTTTACTGCATGTGTACAACACTTTCAATAATAATGCCCCAACGTATCTTCAAGATATTATCAGTAAATATGAACCAGGTCGTATCAGTCTTAGATCATCTAAAGATAATTTGCGCCTGACAGTACCTATCACCAAGACCTCATTTGGTGATAGTGCGTTTTCTGTTATTGGACCAAGGCTATGGAATAGCACTCCTTATGAGATCTGCCAGGCTCCCAGTGTTAAAATCTTTAAAAAACAACTTAAAACGTATCTGTTTCCTAGTAAGTAGTTTTGTATCATTTAACGGTAGTTTTAAGATTTCTGTATATATATAAATATTTATTTTGAACTTTGATATGTACAGCGCTTTGATCCTTTTGGAAAAGCGCTTTATAAATTCATAATAATAATAATAATAATAATAATAATAATAATAATAATCCTTTCCGAATAAGGTACTGTAGGCCAGTTATTAGGGTCTAGCCTAGACGCTAATATAGGCTTAGCATAGCCCAGTCAGTGAATTCGGTATGGCTAGCCTACAAAAAGTTAACATATAATTGCTGCGCAGCAGCCAATTCATATTCTTGACAGCAATTTGACCTCTGAAAGGTCATTGTTTGTCAAAAAACAAGGGCCTAAAGACGACTGAAAAGCGGAGTTTCCTTCTTCGTTCTGCCGGGTAAAACCAATTACTTTAGGCGACGTTTGTAGACTAACCTACACGTACCAACGTCCGCATGTGGCGACACTCGAGTATTACTATTCAGCGTTTTATTTCCAGGTTTCCTATTTCTACGTTTAATCGGCCCATGTCTCAGCCACAATATTTTGAGGCCAATATTATTTACGAACCCAGTTAAACTTATTTACTAGCCTATTTCAGCGTGCTAATTATTACATTTAGGCGACGCTTGTTGT